CAAATGTCTACAAGATTCACTAATTACTTTATTCTTTATGGAAATCAAAATAATTCGTGTATGTTTCATCAAATAATACAAATATTTTTTTTTCTAAAACATAGTATAAGAAAGAAATTATAGTATTCTTTTTGTTTGAAGCCATCACTCATTTGTGGTTGCGTTTCTTTGACATATTTCGAGATTACAATATATTACTGATCGTTTTTTCTTTAAAACATAACAAGAGAAAGATAGCCATATTATGCTTGTACTTTTTGTTTTGTGCAACAGTCCTTGTTTATGATTGCATTTTGAGTGACATATTTCGATATTACGAAATATTTCTTCTCCTTTTTTTTTCAATCATCATAAGAGAAAGCTAACGTTTTCACCTTCACTACTGGTTTTATAGTTATGCTCGTTTGACATACTTAGATATGACGGAATATTAGTTTTCTTTTTTTTAATTATCATAAGAGAAGGTTAACTTTTTCGTTTTCACTACTGATTTACAGTTATGCTCGATTGACATATCTAGATATATCAATCAAGCATTTTTTCTCTTTTTTCTTTAAACGTAATATGAAAGAAGTATCCTTTTCTCCTTCACGACTGCTTAATAGTTTTGCTTGATTGCCGCATTTCGATATCACAAAATATTTTTTCTCTTTATTTTCAATTACCATCACAGAAGGTTAATATTTTCGTCTTCACTACTGGTTTACAGTTATGCTTGATTGACGCATTATGATATCACAAAATATTTTTTTCAATCACCAGAAGTGAAAAGCATCTTTTTCTGCTTCACTACTTTTTTATAGTTATGCTTTATTGACATATTTAGATATTACGAAATATCTTTTCTCTTTTTTTTTCAATCACAATAAGAGAAAAGTATCTTTTTCTCTTTCACTAATTGTTTATAGGTGTGCTTGATTGATATACTTTGAACTCAAAAAAAAAAATTCGCCGTTTTATTGTAAAATATGAATAAAAGAGGATTTCTTGTTTTTTCTTTGACATATTGATATTAATTATGCACCTTCGCAGTTGTAGGAATATAGAAGGACTTCTAGGTTTTTACATTTGACGCCTTGAAGTACTACTTTCGAGCACTGAGAGAAAAAAGAAGTTTTCTATGAAGAAATTCACATTGTTCCTTATATTATGTTTCAATATGATAAAAAAAGAAAATAAAAATTTATGAAGAAGTTCAACTTTTCTTTTTGTTATTTTTGCTTTTAACTGATGGTCTTAAGATCGTAGCAGTACAAATAATATAAAGAGGAGAACAAGGAATGAGAAGAAGAAAAAGAAGACAGAGAGGAAAAAAAGAAAAATATCATACGATAAACAAGAACATAGTGATGAACGCGGGTTACAGTAGTATGTGAAGAATGAACATACAGAAAAGTGTCAAAAGAACTTTGGAAATTCCACTACAATAAGAATATCACCAATGTCGTAGCCTATGAGAGAATGGGAAGAACGATTAGAGGAACACCACTGTAAAAATTTTTCCAAAATAGGTATATGTTGTACTTGTACATATCTCTTAGACTAATGGAGACCTTCAATTAGGGATTCTTTTAACAACCAGACAATTCTAAATTGACTTAAATTCGCCTGCTCGAAAAGCAGCTCGTCGTCGACTGAATCAGATAGTGCAGTGAGATAGCGATCCCCATATTTGCTGCATCTATCTTCGAAAGGAATTTCATCGAAAACATAATCAACAAAATGATCAGACCAGTGAAGCCAATGAAAGATTCTTCTAAGAGAAATATAATAGAAATGCAATAGATCATTTTGTTGCTTGTGTGTGAAAAGCGGGAAAAGAGCAAACAACCATGTAAATAATGGAAGTACATATGACTGAAACAACGTTCTTTTTAATGAGGGAGACGTGGTACCTGTGATACGAAATGAATTGACAAGGGACATTGACGAATCTTCACTACGGTTTAATTGTTCAAAGTACTCCAACCTAACTTTGGTGTAATTCAATACCCCAGATATTTAAACTCCTTAACCCCTGTAATTTTTACATCACCGTAGTAGATGTCGAATTTAGGAGGGCAGATTGCTCGAGAAGACCAGAGAGCTTCTGTTTTAGTTAGATTAACCGACTGAACTGTAAGAACAGAGTAGAATTCAAGATCATCTAAAAATACTTTTAATCTTTTTTCAAGATCTATACATTGCCGAGTAAAATTATCCCCTATTCTACCACCAAATACTGTTGCCAGGTCGTCCGCAAAAAGGAAACTGGAGCATATATTAAGGAAGCCCGTAAGATCAGAGTGGTAAGTGATGAATAATGTTGGAGTGAAAATTGAACCTTAAGGTCCACCACGCTCAATGGCAAAGTTTAACTTATTTATTTGTAATATCGTTAAGTAGAAAAAATTACTAAGAGCAAGAAAGAAGAGTTTCGTTGTATTCTCTTCTGTTCTTTGAATGTTATTGACATAGTTCAGTTTTGCCAATTTTTCTTCAATTCGTTTCCATACCAGGAAAGAAAAAAAGTGACATAAGCATATTTCTAAAGAAAAATAGTCTACATTATTCAATCTAATTATGTTCAGGAAACTAATAGCATGGATCCATACTCTTTAATTAGAACTTACATAGAAAAGAAGAACAGGACATTAATATTGTTCTATAAGTGAAGAAGATGTAAACCTACTGTATACAGAGAGTAGTTTTGTTGATTGATACAGTTAACTTGATTTCATTTCTGATATTTCTTCGCATGAAATACAAGAAAATCGGTGGATCTTTTTCGGACCTCGGCAAAATATAGAAATATATTTTCTAACGGAAACAATCCTTTTTTCTAACGAGATGAGGTATTATTTTAATAGTTTACTAGAAAGTTATTTCAAATTTTACCTTAGACGATATCTATGTGGAAATTTTTCAAGCAAAACAGCTAATCTATTGTTGATACATTCAAAGCACTCAATTAAGGTAGTGTTCATATCAAAACTTGAACAGATTGTTTGTTAGAAAAGATTACAAATTCATTAAGTGATGAGTAAAAGAATATAATTTGCATTACTCAAGAAAAATAAGTCAAAAACGTCTACCTACATTGAAAAGCAAAGTTTAATATATTAATTCATTTTTTTCTAGGCTTGCGTATCTGCTGATGTTTCAATTGAAGAGAAATAGAAACATTTTAATATGAGTCAATATGGTAAGTAAAACTGTTTGTGGAGAAATATCGAGTAAACTCAAAAGTAATAATCCAAGAACATTACTATCATCTGCAGTGTTTTATCCAGTGGCGGGGGGGGGGGGG